TATTATTATTATTATTTAATAGCTTTCTTCGAAAAAGTTTTTTTAATAAACTAAATACAACATTAAGCTCGTGTCGCGTAAGCGCGTTGTTCGCGCACTATATTGACCGCCCCCATGATTAGGCGTCGAGAAAATATTGCCAACGCGTCAAAGATTCATCTTCTGGCTGGAAATGTGCACACGAAAGGGCACGACGTACGTTTAAAGGAATTCGATGTTCTGAAATCAAGCGTGTTGCCAAAGAATGCACTCAGTATTCGCCTGTACTTAGAGCATAAATTTATTCAGGCAGTGTAAACTATGACGCTTAAGTAAAACCCCCATCTAACCTTAAAATGACTAATCTATTCTGAAATGAACACAGGAGTCTGCGCGAAAAGTATGGGCATGGAGACGATAATAACGTACATAGCTAAGACCTCACCAGAAGTACCGATAATTACTTACTGGGGTTGGATGTACTTCCTCAAGAAATAAGACTTAGACAGCTAACATTTTCACACCTTGTTAGCCCTTCCCAGTGACATTAAAAAACTATTCATCAAACCCATTTTTCCTCTACAGTTATTTATAGTTATTATAGTTGCTGTTTTATGGCTGATTCGCCTCCTTTGAAATTAGCCATAGCTTAGACACGTGCTTCACCGATATTCTGCCGTTACATGGCACAGCTGTGAGAGGTTCAGCGCATCAGTGGGTTCCCCAGCGTCTCCTTATGCTTTCTGGTAGATACTGCAGTTATGGAATGGTCGCTGTTAGACTTTCCACTTTTTTGAAGCATCTAACTTCTGTGCTAAGTGAGGCATTAAGTAATATTTACCGAAGAAAACAGAGAAAAGAATCTAATTACCATTTTGCGCTTATTTTTAGTCACCAACCAGTAATACGCCTTCTTAGGCTGTAGACCATCCTATCAAAGGCGAAGCAGAAATGCTCACTTGCGTCCTGCAATCAAGATAACTAGGTGTACGCCACCGTCATGTAGGTCAGGTATGTCGACCAAATTGACTACCAAAGCGTGAGGGAGTAGTTTTTCAAATTCGTGTTTAACAAACGATATAGGTACTGGAGTATTTGAGATTTTCCAAGTCGAGTCGTCAAGTTAAATACTTTAAACCTTTTGCACCCTTGGACAGAGCGCATTTGTCTCCCTGTAAATAACTTTAAACGCTCTACTTATACTTATCAAGTAGAACGTTTTGTTTTCATTTTTAGTGGGGTCTTGTCTGCTCGCAGACCTACATGCTCCGCATATCCCAGGTCATGCACATGACAGGTCTCTTTATCGGTGCCCCAACGTGTGGAAAGTTAGCGGACATGTACGGTCGCCTGAAGATTCTCTACATTAGCCTGGTGCTCCTCAGCATATTGAGTTTTGCAGTTGCTTTTGCCCCTGGCATATACGCCTTCTGTGGGCTGACTTTTCTCCAAGGGATCGCCTGTCAAGGCTGTGGACTCACCTCTTACACAGTCATTCTAGAATCGGTCGGCGCAAAGTATCGAGCACTTGGTGGCATTCTCGAACAGGTAAACATTTTGAAGATCTTATGACAATTTGAATTGGTAATGTTAGAACTCCGTAGATTTCCACCACCAGAAGGCAGTTGTCTATACCTCCATGTGCAAATAGCGATATTTCTGACTTCACTGTCTTAGGTCAAGCCGGGGTTAGACGACTTATAACATAATCTATTGTAAAACCAAACTCCGTTCTCGTCACGAATGGACCCCTTTTAGCCCTTTCTTAGTTCGCCTGATATTTTTCCTCTCCCGATGTTGGAAGAAAAAACACCGTTAAAATATCAAAAGCTAAAGTTGTCAGATTGTATTTCCAGGTTTCTAACAAAATACTTTTCTGAACAGCACCAAGAGCCAGAGGCAGCGTGGTGTTTCGTGAATGTATTTATAGCTCTCATTGAGTACATTTGCTTTGAGCGTCTTGAAGTTCCTCATGACTCCGCAGAAACATCAGAAAATTACTCACCGAAGGCAATTTTTACCAACAGGACACTGCTTGATAGTCACTGAGCGAATCTTTGCTTTGATGAGCGTGTTTTGTGGACGATTACATAGGGCGACTCAATTTTCGGCATGAGTGTAGATTACCTGTTAACCAAGATCAGTTTTTTCGCCATTGTAAATCGAGATCTACAGCTAACAGTGTTCTTGGAATGACCGCACCAATCGCTGATTTTTGTAAAAACTCTCTTTAAACGGATTCAGACATACTGCAGTAGGC